ATGCAAAATTCAAAAGTGCCTACCCCTTTGGTATATGAAAAGCAGGTATTCCATCATTTCTCTCTACCCATTCTTCTCCCCAGGGGCAACTACTCTTACCTGAATCCAGATAGTCTATCTGCTTATAAAGTTATAAAAAAATTTTTAAATGCAAATAGATTTTCTTTATTATAGAAGTATCGATAATCATTGTAAAAAAGAAAAATGCAAACGGCTGTAAAAGAAAAAAGCAATATCCTATAATCTCAGCTGGCAGAGGTTACCACTGTTAATATTCTGGTATCTATCCCTCTAGATTTTTTCACTGTATGTGTGTGTATATAATTTACACAAATACAATTGTACACACACTATTCAGCACATTTGTTTTACTTTAACAATATATCTAGGTGATCAGACCGTATCAGCACTTCTGGAGCGAATATTTTAAATTGCTGCATAGATTCCATTTATTTATCCAAAAATTCCCACTGTGGACCTTATGTGGTTTCCAGACGTTTTGCAGTTCAAACCGATGCTCTGTGAGTATACTCGTACGGATGTCATTTTGCATGTGTGTGACTTTATCTGTTGGCTAATTGTTGGGGAATAAACCTGCCGGCCAACTGGTATGTACCATTTTACATTTTGATAGATGTCGCCACATGGCTCTCCATTTGGAAGTTGTACTAATTTACACTCCCACCCACAATGTGTGAGTGTGCCCCATTCCTATTTTGAGCATTTCTTATTGTTAGATGGTTCTGCCTTTTTGCAATAATTGATCTGAAATGTGCCTCGCTGCAATTTCCACCCACCTTTTCTACTTTTGCTCTCTGGGGCTCCACACTCTGTTTTTGTGTGGGCTGCTGCTTTTTATCTCGGCTCCCCTATGAGTTAGAACGATGAATAATGCACCACATTCCACGCACGAGGGTGGAGCCCATCTCAGAGAAGGAGCCAGGAACAGTTAGGCTGGGGGTGCTTAGATAACCACCAGGCCTCTGAGTGTAAAGAGCAAGAGGCCCAACTTATGGCTCAAGTCCCTCTTGAGCTTAAACACCTTCACTCTTCAAACAAAGCATCAATGGTATTACGCTGTACATATCATCATGCCATTTTATGTTTTTACTCAAAATATGTCTTTGAGATTTAACTCTTTCGGTACTTAATTGATCTTTCAGGGCATTCTTAATTATTCCACAGTCTGATTTACATCATCATGGTTTACTTAACACTTTCGTCTATTCATGGCACTTTTGTTTTCAACTTTAAGCTGCAAATAATGCTGCAGTGGATACCTTTGTACCTGTCACTCTGTGTGCACGTGTGAGCATCACTCTAGGGTAGCTTCTGATAAGTGGGATTGCTGGGCCCTGGAGGGTTTAATAGTTTGCTGGATTCAGGCACGCTGCCCCCCAGAGCGGCTGTGCCAATCCCCACTTCCATCAGTGCATGCAGCACCTATGTCCCCATGGTGCCCCACAACGTTTGGCACCTATGTCCCCATGGTGCCCCACAACGTTAGAAAAACTGGCCCTTCTTATGGGTCATACATGGTTTCTAATGGTCTTGATATGCGTTTCCCTCATTACTAACAGCATCGAACAACTTTTCAGGCACATCATTGGCCCTTTGCATTTCCTCTTTGGCGAATTACCTGCTCGTGTCCTATGCCCATTTGATTCTTTTGTTTGACCCCTCATATGTTGATTTGTAGTTCTTGTATGTTCTGGATACTTACCCTGGGCCTGTGATAGATGTTGCAAAATGGTCTTCTAGAGACTCTTCCAGACGAAGGCTCCCGTCACCCTGCTCTGGGGCATTCTTGAGGTGCGAGCGCACAGCGTTATCCCACTGCACTCGGTCACAGTGCAGACCACCGACACCTGCCCCGGCGGAACTTTCCTAGAGAAGGTGCTTGATGGAAGACTGTTCCACAGGCATGAATTGAAAGCAGTGGTGGTGAGGATACTGCCTTAGAGCACATGAATCCATAGCCTTCGTGGCATGTAGAGAAATACATAAAACATGAGGACACAGGGACAGATGTGCTATGTGCAGGAGTTAAGACTTTGGGGCCAGACTGCCAGAGTTCCAACCTGGCCTCTGCCCCTTCCTGCTAAATGGATGAATTTGGGGGAATTACTTAAATTCTCTGGGTATTGGTTTGCTCATCTGTAAAACCGGCATAGTAAGAGTATAATTTTTACAGGATTTTGAGAATGAATTGAGTTAATGCAAAGCATTTTTAGCAGAGCTTGGCACAGGGTTAAATTTGTATGAGTCTTAGCTGTTATGTAATAAAAGTTTGGCTTCCATAGTGTTTGGTTTTTTTAAAATCATATCTGATTTCTGGCCCAAGGTAATTGAATTCGGGTGTGTTTCCTTCAGCATCTATTACCACCTTCTAACGAACACTTAGATAACAGGGTTATATGATGAAAAAAATAAAAATAAAAAGAACAGCATGTGTTTTTTAAAAAGGCATGCAAGTCATAAAAATAAGGTACACAAGTTCCATTGCACAAGACAATAACTTTACAGTATACTTGCTGAGGATGGTGGGCATATCTGTTTGCCAGGTAAAGTGCTGCTTTTGACTCATTTTTTATTTGCAGGGATTTTTACGCTATTTTGTAATGCACACATAAAATGAGATTTGATTGATTTTCATGTGCCATGATTTCAAAGTCCTCTAACTCAAGGTTGCACGCATTGTGACCACTCTGAACTCGCTGAGTTTATTGGGCCCTTTGCTGTCCCTGAGCTGTTCCTAGCTGTTGTCAGTGCTGGGTTGGGCCTGCTGATTTCACTGGGTAAAAAATAGTGGAGTGAAACATCCCAGACTTACTCAGGACTGAATTCAGAGTTTGTTTTCAGCCAGGTGATGCCTCCAGTACATGGTTTAGCGATTATCTTCAGACTTTTGAGTGGATGAAATAGAGGTTCTGTTCCTTGGGGATAGGCTGCGCCTCCCACTCCTGTCCCATTCCTCAGGCCCTTCGTGCACGTGTGCTGCCTCACCCCCACGCAACCTTGAGGAAATCCAGAGTCTGGGAGCGTCCCTTGAAGGTTCTGAGATAAAGGACCATTCCTAGACTTTTGCTTCCTGGTCATTGAATTTGGGAGTGGGCCTTTGCATTCGCTCTTGTTGGGGAGGTTGGGGATGGGTAGGCAGAGACAGGTTTTTGACAGGAAGTTCTCATGTGCTGTTGACCCGGTGTGAACCTTTGTGTCTGGTGCCTATGCTCAGTACCGTTTCACATTTGGTAGAATGGCTGAGATGAAAAAGACTGACACCTGCACATATCGGTGAGGATGTGGAACAACGAACTCCCATACATTGCCGGCGGTGTGTTAAATGGTACACCTACTCTGGAGAACTGTTTGTCAGTTTCTTGTCAAGTTAAACAGAAATCTACCCCATGACCTAGCAATTCCATGTCCAGGAATCCACCCAAGTGAAGTGAAAATGTATGTCCAAGTAAAGACCCCTATATGAATGTTCATAGTACTTATTTATAATAGCAAAAATTGGAGTAATCCGTGGCAGAATGGATAAGCAATTTGTGGAATAATCATACCTCGCAATACTATTCAACAGTGAAAAGAACAAACTATAGATTCCAATAACAACATAGATGAATCTCAAACACAATGTTGAACAAGAGACAGTTACAAAAGTAAACAGGATCCCATTTATATGAAGTCCAAGGAGAGGTAAACATCATCTGTGGGAGCAGAAATCAGAAAAGTGGTTGCCTGGGGACTGGGGTGGGGGAGGGGGATGAGATGGGGGGGGAGAAAATAATTGAAGTGTACAGACCAAATGAATATGTCCCAACAGATCTCATCAGGGTGAAGTAGCTCCANATGGGGGTTGGGGGGTTAAGGGGGGAAGACTGGGATCCTTTGGGAAGAGGCACAAAGGCTCTCCCTGGGATGAGGGCAGCGTTCCACACATTTGGTTACTTGGGTGAATATCATTGTCAACATTTATGATCTGTGCATTTTCTTGTGTTTTCTTATGCCTCAATAGCATTTATTGAATGCATTTTTCAAAGGTTATGATTAGCTTTTTTTTTTTGCTGTTTCATAGTCCTAATTATTTGTATTCATCCAGGTTGTCACCTTTCTCAATGCTAGATGACAACATATTAACTGTATATCAGGGGTTCTTAACCTGCAGTCCATTGATAGTTTTCAATGGGTCCTTGAACCCCGTGAAATTGAATGCACAATTTTGCATGTCTGTGTTCATGCATTTTTCTTTTCCCTCAAGGAGTGAGTTCATAACTATCATCATATTCCCCAAAGGGCCTGTGACCCAAAACGTATTTAAAACAGAACCTCTGTGTTAGATGGTTCATGCAGACTGGGTAGGAAACAGAATCAGTAGCAAAAGATGAGCGGATGAATAAATGACAAACTGTTTCCAGTTGATGTTCAAGGAACCAAGCCTCTAATAGTTTACAGATTAAAACTGGCAGATGTCAGTGGCTGCATTGAACTAGCAAAAATTAGCATTACCTTCTAGCCTGAGAAATAGAATAAAAGTCCTGATAAGAATAGCAGGCAGAATTGGTGTACCATACAAGGGCTTTCAATCACATTTATAGAAAAAGATGCCTGTTATTGAAAAGTATCATATACTGTGTCTATTTTGAAATTAGATAGATGAACATAATAGAAGCAACAGTTATGATTAAACTGTAAAAAAAAATTCTGTAATGCTTTCTCTTGACGGGAGAAAACAATTACCACGCTGAATGCTAACAGAATTGTTTCAGGTTCAGCTTTGCCAGTGTTTAACAAAAGAAGACAATTGTGATATGGTTCAGTTATGGCAAGTTTCGTACACTGAGTTTTGAGAACTGGTTATTTATTCCCAGTCCCTGATTGCAGGAAGGCAATGCAGCATCAGACCGATGGCAGAGGGCTGTGAATGCTCCTTGAGATGGGGAGTTGCTCCGAGCTCATCTGAGAGCTTTGGTTTTCTCTTATGTGCTTATTGACAGGTTTCTGTGGTCTCTTTTGTCCGATGTGTCTTGAGTGTGACGTCGCCAGGCATTACGGAGAGTGTTTTTGTTGGCCGTTGTTACCTGGGTCCACCTTCGCACTGAGAGTTGGCACCAGAGAGAGACATAAAATGCGGGTAAGTGTGTTTGAACGTATCTGAGCACCTGGATGCCTTTCAAACCTCTGCTTTTCCAAAAACAAACAAAAAAAGAGGTCTGAGGGAGGAAGCTTAAAAATACCACACTGAAGTGGAAGACTTTGGGAAAGGAAGGGCAAGAAATTTCTGTGGTCATTCTTTACTAGCATGTATGAAAGTTAACCAAAATGTCACATTGGGAAGGGTATTCCCAAGGGGCACCTATTATTATATAATACAGATTATTGGTCAACAGGCCACTCCTGTTTCTCTCATTGCATGAATAGAAAATGACAGAATTGTATCAAATTTGGAGGATATATTTGGGATGGCCTGACTTAAAATGTAGCCTATGTGGCATATGCAGAATTCAGTTTAGGGGTCCCTTAGGGACCCTTCAAAGAGCAGGACAATTTCCAAGGCAGCTGAGACTGAGGTACAATGAGAGATTGAGGACAGACAGATCATACATATTAAGATGCGGGCGGTAAAAAAAAAAAAAAAAAAAAAGGGCATCTCTTTATAATTCATGTAAAATCATCCTTAATATATATTTTTAAGTGAAAAAAAGAGTAAGGCATAGAGGTATGCAACTATTTACATAAAAATACTATATGTGTACATACTTGTGTAGACATAGAATTTATCTGGAAGTGTAGATAAGAAACTGCCCACAGTGGTTGGCCCTGGACAGGCCACTGGGTGACTGGGGACACCTATAGAAAGGGGGAATTTACTTTTTACTTCCTGTCCCTTCTTACTGTGGGAATTTTGGACCATGCACACTTATTACCCATTTCAAAGAAATAAATAGTTAAAAATATTAAATCCTAAGAGAAAAAAAAAAAGGTGTCGACAGAGACATCAGTGGTTTCAAGTATCAACACCTCAAAGGGCAGGCCTCTGAATTACAAGCATTGACCAGCAGATGAGCAGCTTGGCACCTGGGTAACCCAGTGAAGCTGTGTGCCTGCATCGACTTAGGGGCGTTGGTGGATTTTGGAAGCAGTACATGGGATGGGCCAGCAGGTGGCGCTGTGGAGGTCCCTGGGGAATGGAAATAAGCCTGTGCGATTGTACCAGATTGGACTCCCCCTAGGGCACGCTCTGCGAGGACTGGCTGGCGGTGCACTGCTGTTGGCCTTGTTCCATCTGTCAGGTGGCCCGGGAACTCAAGATGAGGACCTCCCAACTCTATGAAATCTCATCAGCCCCTTCAACTAAGGACACCTTCATTTGACAGCGCAGGAAAACTCTTCCTCACTCCCCTTTGCCCTCCTTTCAAACCCCTCTTAGTAGAGATTGTTCTTAAGTTTTCACTGAAGTTGTATGAAAATAAATGATTCTCTCCCCCAGCCCCCCGCCTCCACTGTCTTTATTGTTCTTTCTTTACATGTCCTCCGATGAAGCCTCTGTTGTTTGTCTGGGTTTCCTGTGCCAGCCCAGCCATGCCAGGCAGATTCTAGAGGCAAATTCTGTGCCCCCACCCCCCTGCTTGGAGTTGGGCTGCATTTCCCACCATTTTCCTACTGCCAGCCTTTCATGAGGGACGTCCAGGAAGCTGGAAGAATTGTGGCATGGCTTTCTTAGGCTAAGTAAGCCACTTTTCCCAAAGTACCAGTGATGGGATAGGAGATGGTTAATTTTAGTTAGCACCTGGACAGGGAACAAAATGTCACCAAAACACAGAAGCACTGTCAGTCCCTTCTGACTCCTTCAGTCCTGACTGCATCAAGGAGAAAGTGTCAGGTTACTGGTAACCTTGAAAGCCTCTCTAGCACTTGCAAATCTTCAGCCCAGAAGCCTCAGGTAAGCAACTGTTATGGGTTGAGTTGAATTGTGTCTTCTCCCCCCAGCTCCCAAAAGATATGTTGAAATCCTAACTCCTGGTTCCTGTGAATGTAACCTTATTTGGAAACAGGCTTTTGTGGATATAATTAAGATGAGGTCGTTAGGATGGGCCCTAAGCCAATATGACTGCTGTCCTTACAAGAAAAGAGATGTAGAGACACACAGAAGGAAGACAGCCCTGTGACTCTGGAAGCAGAAATTGGAGTGATGCTGCCACTAGTCAATGGATGCCTGGGGCTACCGGCACCTGGAGGAGGCAAGGGACATTTTGGAGGGAGCATAGCCCTGTCAACATCTTAACTTTGGACCTCTAGCCTCCAGAATCATGAGAGAGTACTTCTGTTGCTTTAAGCCTCCCAGTTTGTGGTACTTTGTTGTAGCAGCCCTACGAAGCTGCTGCACCAATCCTCTACCGTGTGAATAGAATACTTTCGTTTTTGTTTTCACAGAACAGTGTGAGGAGGCTGCGGGGTGAAGCCTGAAATGCATCCTTCATTTACTAGTTGTGTAACTCTGGGCAAATTTGCAAATCTCTCTGTGCCTCAGTCTCCTCGCTTGTAAAATGACAGTTCCGACCTCCCAGGGCTGTGAGGATGCTAATGAGTCAGGACACTTGGTACAGCGCCTGGGCAGCAGCAAGGAAGGACTCAGGACGCATGAGCTATTATTACTATCCTACCTTATATTCATAGCACGTCATACTGGTTTTCCATTTACAGTTGAGATATGAAGGTTTCAATTAAATTTTAGATTAAAATGGAGTCAATTAAAACAAGAATAGTAAATAATAATCCAGTTGGGTGGTAGACGCGGCAAGCCTTGTGAAGTAGGTAAAACACTAATTTTATTGAGTACCTGTATGTGCCAGGCGCTGTTCAAAGTACTCTACATGCTTTAAGACACTTAATCCTTAACATTCCTCAGGTAGGTGCTACTCATATCTCCATTTTCCAGAAAAGAAACCTGTGCCACAGAGAGGTTAAGTAACTTGCCCAAGGCCACACAGCTGATGAGCAACAGGTAGCCAGCAGAGCAGGCTTCTGGCCAAGAGGCCTCTTGGGCCCTCGTGGTTGTACAAACTGGTGCTTGCTCTGTGGAGGTGAACTCGGCCTGGCGAGCGTTGAGAGGCAGTAGCGCTCACCCCTGCCCCCAGCCATCCCCACTAAGCAATTCCTGTCTGACAGTCAAGCGATTCTTCTGCTCCCAGCCCTCCCTTTTGAATGTCCAGAGCAGCTGCCAGGAACCAAAGCCCTTTGGGAAAGTTAAATACTCAGTGTTGATGTTTAATCTATGATGAAGTATTCCCCTCTCCAAGTCAGCTACTGAAAAAAACCAGGCCTCAGGGACAACTCTATTAAGTGAAAATAAAGCTGTTTTATTGTTTCATGCTAAAACCCATATCAGGCTTCACAAGCTTACAGCTGGGAACAATATGCGTTTTTGGCAAAAGAGGCTTGGGTAATCTCTCCACTTTCACACGACTAACCCCGCCCTGTGTGGCGAGCAGATGGTATTTCATGCATGGGTTTCTGGCCCACTTTTCTAGGCTGATGGAAGAGATGTGAGTGGACCTCTCCAGCAATGGAGCCCCCCCCCCCTTTTTTTTCCTTTTCCTTCGTCTGATCAGCCTGGGTGGTAAGGAGCAAGCTTAATACTTCATGAAAACCACAAATCCAAACAAGTAAAACTCTGGGCTCTAAAAGCATTGAGTCTATCACCAAATCACAGAACATAAAATGGAGAATTGATATGTAGATAGTTCTTTGAAAACTGAGGCTGGAGAGTGGTCCTGAAGCAAGGTGGTTTCGGGCCAGAACTCCTGGTTTCTTCTAGAACGTGTCACGTTCAAGAGAAAAAGGACTTAACAAAAACATGTGACTCCTTCCCAGGAGAAAAGTTATCCAATACCAAATATTTCAGTGAGAGGCAACACCTCTGATAGTAAACTCCCCATTTGCTCAGACTTAAAACAAGCTGTCAGTAGCACAACTCTGAGAGTTAACCCAATGGTGAAGGTAAGTTCTGTGTGTTTTTCTTCTCACTGGAAATTTCCTTTCGGTTTTCCAAGATGCAAAGAGTAGAAGTGAGCTCTGATGACCCCATGTGGGTAGACAACACCAACCACATGCAACAGACATTGCAAAGTAATCCATATAAACGATAAGTTACAAAACCAGAAAACAAACAAGGCCCCACCAAACCTCTTGGCTTTACAATGGAATATTCTAAGGGCAAAGCTGCCAGCCCTGGAACGCTACTTCTTGGAACAAAGATGTGAAAACTTTGGAAGTCCTTAAGTGTCCACTGCCCTATAAAATATAATTTTTATATGCTTACATGTTTTATATATCTAAGGTTCATGTATACAATAACCCATAATGACTAACATTATACCCTTTTTATAAACATTATTCACATACATGTGATCTCATAAAGATTCTCTTCTGGTCTGTTAAAAACACTGCACTTAAAAAAAGCAAGCAGAGACACAAGAGTCTATAGCTTTTCTGCTTGTATTTCCGTGGAAAAGGAACTTGTTCTCCCCTTCCGTTTTTTTCTTTTCTCTTTTTCCCCCCTAAACAACACCCTCTTCCCCTGACCCAACAGGTAAATAATAAGAAGCAGTTTCACCCAGTTTCTGAGTTTCACCCAGAAGATGAAACTCAGACTTCATGGTTAGCAAGCTATTCCAGGGTAAATTTCTGGGCTGCCCTCATTCTCATCATTCAAACTCATCCTTTTTGCTCCCTTCCCCCCCCTCCCCGCCCCCCACCTTTTGACCCATGACAATTGGGAATCTATATCCTGGAACTGACAGCTCAGAGATGAAAACTTTAGGAAGTGGGGGAGCTTTCCTTAAGCTTCTGGGTTTGGCTCGGAACAAATCCGATTCTTCATTTGGTGTTTTAAGAAAGTATTTGGCTCGTTAGTTAGGCAGGTTCAAAGGAAAAAGCTAACTGTCCATGAAACCCTCTAACTACTATAAAGTTCCCAGAGACTTAAAAAACAGCAAGTGAAAAATTAGGAGTGGTGGTTTCCTGTTGCTCTAAATGTGAGACGGGGAAGCCAAGGTGAGAAGGAAATCTGAGTGAGAGGGCCTTGGAGACAAGGCTGTAATGACTGATGTGGTCTAATGGTTACCGGGGATCAAAAGTTATGTTGTGTCTCCCCGCAACACCACCACCCCAGTTTACACACTGTGCTGTTGGGTGGGCAGCTTGCCTACACTTAACCTTACCCTTCGCCATGCATAAAGGCAAAAATCTTTCCAACCCTGACAGTCTACGCCATTACCCTGGACGGTGAAGTCATGGAAACCTATTCATAGGTGGGCTGTCAGGCCCCATGGGAGGAATGAGTAGATTCCAGAATTGGAAAGCGGCACCTCTACATTCATTGCTGCTGAGGCTAAAGAGGAGCCGGCCAAGCCTGAATCCATCCCAGAGGAAATGGAACCAACATTTAGTCCTAGTCGTTCCGACAAAAGGGATGACTGACAGTTGGCAGCACGGTCATTGACCACATGTGAGAAGATGTCACCAGTGAATTCGCTCACCATCCCTCTTGCTTCCTCACTCACCATTTGGCAGATAAAGCCAATACTTGGAGGTTTTTTTCGTTGCTTGTTATCACGCTCCCCTAAGGTTAAGCAAGACAAGGGTGTGGTTAAGAAGTCCAAGTTATTCAACCCATGACGAGACGGGCACCGTCAGTTTGAGACCTGCATGGGACAGCTTCATATAGGAGAAAACGCTTCTGTAACCACAAGATGCAATCCTTACTCTGCTCACGGTTTGGCTGACGTTTGCTCCTGCTTACAAGCAGGCCTGGGTGAAGGACTGAGGATGCGTTAGTGCGAAAGTAGGATCCCAAACGGTAAAACACCTGACACATCCGCAGGCCGCTACATTCTTGTCGCTGGTAATCAGGGCAGCATGTGCTTTTAAACATGAGATACTTATTGATGTCTTAAGATAAAGGAGAAGGTGAAAACGTATGGCTTGACGAGCCTCTGGGTGTTTGTGAATTGCATTTATCTGTAGAACGCCTCTCTCTGGTTAGCACAGATAATTTAAAATCTGTATTTTCAATTAGAATTTTTTTAAACCAGGGGTAGACTATCTTCTAATGACTTCTCCTTGAAGACGACTTATTTCTGAACAAAAAAAGAATGCACGGCGGTCACTGATTTTCAGATCTTTAGACTTGAACTAGCCTCTCTGTAAGCATTGCCCTCTGTGGCATCTCATAACATCACGGATTTCTCTTCTCTGAGATTATGTACCAAGCCCTTATTTCCTAGATCGGGACGTTCTAATAGAAACCCTGTGGATCAGAAGGTATCAGGGGGGAAGGACAGATGGAATTGGAATGGCAAAGAATGAGGATGTGGCAGGGGGCTCCATCTGGAGGCGGGGGCGGGGGTGAAGGATAGGGTCATTGTGAGGAAGTGCTGGCCTCTCTGGCTTGAACACCCAAGAAGAGAAGAATATTATGCTCTCTCC